CCCCAAACAATATCTCTGTGAAAGGATTTTTAAAACCATATTGACTGACTGTGCGGAGGCTTTAAAAAGGTTCACTCACTCCAGTTTCCTCTCCACTACTTTCCCACTGGTCTTCAATAAATAACATCTACTAAAAATGTTCCGAATGCCCACACAAACACAAACCTTCAGAAAAGAATGGAGAGACCCTGTCAATACAGACACTCCACAAATCTCATCATTCTACAACACAAAATAAAACAATAATTAACTCATCGCAACTCACCACTTTCTCTCTCAAGGCGACAATTTACATTCCTTGGTGGAGTGTTGGGATCAAAATAGTTCATCAATAATTGCACAACCAAAACCACACCTCCTGAACCAAGCTACGGGTGAGAAACCATTTTAAAAGCTACGGGCGAGAGCCATTCTTAAATCCAGCCCCACAGAAATTGGTGTATGTAAAGCAGATGAAGAGTAAGAGATACGTGGCAACATAATAATAATAATAATAATAATAATAATATGCAACATTTAAGAGCGGAAACAATAGAATCTCACCTCTCAGGTCTTTCCCCCATCAACATGATGATAATGCAAGACATTCTTGAACAGTCCAACACAGAGTTCATTCATTATATATTTATAAACAAGTATCCGTTTATCAGGCAAAGATGTATATATTGTGAAATGAGCCAACCTCATGTCGTGTGAGCGTGTAATAATGGTGATTATGAAAACACTTTTGGTAAAAGGTTAAGAAAGAAAGCTATACTGTCAAGCTGGGATAACACATAATAACAAAATGGTACAACATTTTTCACATGACCAACCCACTTCCAGTTACTGCAAAGCAAGAAAGACCCAAAAAAAATCAAACAATCAAAAAGCAGGAGAAACAAATATATATCAACTTCAATCCTGTCATTTTTGTTTGTTGTTTTATTTCATTTTCGCGATAACTGAAACAAAGCTATAGAAGATCTTATCTTGTCTTTTTGGGGGGAAATACGTATCAACAAATTGTCTTGAAGGTTCATGAAGCACGCAGACTGGTACACAAGACGCACTTCTTCTGAGGTAGAGACCATTTCCACATGACCATGCACACCATTCACCTCAGTTGTTAAATAATGAAAGACAATGAAAGGGGTAGAAGGAGAAATAAAGTGAGTTCAGAACAAAAATACAAGTAAGGGAACCTCACAGAGATTAGAACTCTCTCTCGTCCTCAAATAACCAAAGGGAACCTCACAGAGATTAGAACTCTCTCTCGTCCTCAATAAACCAAAGGGAACTTCACAGAGATTAGAACTCTCTTATCCTCAATAAACCACAGGAACCTCACAGAGATTAGAACTCTCTTATCCTCAATGAACCAAAGGAACTTCACAGAGATTAGAACTCTCTCTCTCTCATCCTCAATAAACCACTCAGTCTCAGCCATCCCGATCTGTCCCCAGTGCCTGCCACAAAGTCATGAGGAAGTGAAACCACAGGCTGAGAAAGCATTCGAGTCCAAGGCATGAGTTATTGAAATTAAAAACCAGAGGTGCCAATTGGCTGGGGAAAAAACCCCAAAAAGAAACCTGAACTGTTGGGAACATGTGGAAACACGCGTTCTGAGACACACAGCGTACGGATCATAATCATATTACCTAACACATCTTGTATCAAGAGGGCAAGCAAAATCCAGACAATTGTAGAAATCTCAATTTTTTTATATTTATCCCACAAATCGGCACATGTTTAAAGTATCTCTACTCTAAGACCATTTCCATTTTCACCCGAATTCTTTAACTTTAATGATTTCTGGAATTTAAGCACATAAGCTGAGAGCTTTTGCTAGCCACTTCACACAAGCTTGAGTTGTTGCAAAAGCAGTTGTTGCAAAAGCAGCATGGTGGTTCTGCCGACCCCGGAGTCACCAAAGTTCTCAGCATCTCGCGGATAACAAGCCAGTTCCACGACAATCACAACTCACGACCTCAATGCTTTCTTGTCCTATTTCCATTTTTTGTAACTTTGAAAATGTGATTTCTTCTTAAGCTCATTCTTTGTTATGAACTGTTTTCACTGTTATTGAATATGGAGATAGGACAAGGAAGCACTGAGGTCCTGAACTGATAAGATTTCTGGTTGACTCATCATCCCGTGCCACTCGAAAACCTCTAACCTTTAGAGATTATCGAGAGATGTCCAAATGCTAGAGCTTGAACAAAAACCTCCTCTACAGTTGTGTTCTTCGAGAAACCAGATCAGACAAGTCTAGAGCAAGGAATCTCTCTGAAAGCTTTAACAGTACACAGCATAAACATGTTAATTAAAACAAAAATAAATTGAACCAGCAATCTGCAAAACAGTGCAGGCAAATAACTTTTGGAACCCTCGATAGTTACAAATGAAGACAACTCCAGAAGATAATAATATGGTTACCAGATTATTATTGCTCTTGGTTAAAAAAGGAAAATCTCTTCCCCTCTCCAGATAGCGTAGTAGTATAGGGTAGTGCAGCTCAGCTAAACCAGTCAACAGCAGCCACATCTAAAACAACAATTGATTGAGCCCCACAGTTCATGATAAAACAAGGTAGTAAAGAATGGTGGTTGACATCTGAGTTGTTTTACATCACCAGGAGTAACAGATGAGCTGATGGGGGGAGGGGTTGGGGGAAGGAATCATAGCCACAGAGATAGGGAAGGTC